TGTGAGAGAGAGAGAGAGAGAGAGAGAGAGAGAGAGAGAGAGAGAGAGAGAGAGAGAGCTTTGTGTACAGAGAGAGAGAGAGAGAGAGAGAGAGAGAGAGCTTTGTGTACTCGGTCTAATGTATCATCTGACTTCAATGAGATGGGTGCAGGGTTTGCGGAGTAGTGTTTGTGGTTGTAGCGATGTTGTTAATACTGTTGTAATATATGACTTGGACAACGACATCGGCGCTGGCATCCGTCGATGCTTCGCATTTTTCTTTGCATTTTGGCATTTTCCGGTTGCATATATGGGGACTTCACAACGAAGTTCGACACAACTTTTGCAGAAAGATTCATTGATTCAGCTGCCTGAAGCAAGCAGACAAAACATAAACTGATTCACAGGATCCCAGAATCTCGCCGTGTTCCTTTCTCCTCGTCCTCCCTCCCGCCCCCCCCAACCCTTCACCTCAATTGGACCCCCCCTTCCTTGCGATTCCTCCACTGTACTCTTGGCACAGTGTTTTTTTTGTGTGCAAAACAAGGCAATAGATTTGTCAGGTGTTGGCTAGGACCTGAGCGATGCGGAGGAAATGCTCGCTGGTCGGTTTGAGATCAACACCTGTCTGGCAGGAAAAGGCATGGAGGCATCGACACCGCTCTTCTGGTTAATCAAGGCAAAGATCGAGTTCTACTGCTGTCCTAACTGTTTGCAGGCATGGGAGTATGTGAAGAGAGTAAGCTCCTTGTCTCTGCGTGTATTGTGCACGTTTGTAAGAGGGAGAGAGAGGAGAGGGAGGCGACAGTGTACCGTGTTTGTGTGTGTGTGTGTGGAGAAAGAATGTGCGTGTATATGGAAGTCTGTCACACACACACACACACACACAGAGATAGATAGCTAGATAGATAGATAGATAGAGAGAGAGATAGATAGATAGATAGAGGGAGAGAGAGAGAGAGAGAGAGAGAGAGAGAGAGGGGAGGGTTGGGTTGGGTAGGGTTAAGGCAATGCAAGTTGTAGTAGCAAAAGTTAAACAGTGAAGAGGTACTGGTTTGCGGAAGGCCTGTGCAGCGGGTGCCCGCTGGCAATGACTCCTGTTTTTTATTTGTTTCCCTCCCTCCCCCCCCCCTCTTCCATCCATAGTCATTAGTTTTTTTGGCAACGTGTGGCCTGTCGCTGGTCCCAATCGAGAGAGAGAGAGAGAGAGAGAGAGAGAGAGAGAGAGAGATGGGAGTTCTTGCCGACCGCTTAGCCCATGGTCAGGAAGTATTGGAAAATGACGATCTTAACGTCGACGGGTTTTCTATATGGTAATTAGTTACTGCGGTGAAAATTACGATCTTAAGGACTATTCTTTATGGTAATTAGTTACTGCGGTGAAAATGACGATCTGAAGGACTATTCTATATGGTAATTAGTTACTGCGGTGTCGCTTGATCCGCCGGTCGAGGGGTTGATGGGTGTCCGATTGATTGAGTTTGGTTGGCCCCTTTATTCTCTCATTACGTCCTTGAGGTCATTTCTGATTGATTGATCCAATGATTTATAGATCAACTGGTTGATTTGATTCAATTACACTCGTTGACCGATCGATATCCTAATTAATTAAGGAGTCTATAATTACAATTATGAAATTATTATTATGAATTCTCTTTTCTTTGGGGTTGAGACATCTGACGGCTCGATTTATAGGAAGGCGGGGGCGATGATGTCGAATGTTTTGCTCGTGTGAGAGAGTCTTCATGTGTAGAAGATGTCCATCGTGTCGTGACAACACACATATATATGATATCATGTGTAGAAGTTGTGCAAGTCTGCCATATCTACATGCTCGGGGCGGCCGCAGGTTTCTGCAGAGCAGTCTGCCATATCTTTGGCTTCTGGATCGTATGTGTTTGCTGTTGATCGAGTATTGCTCACAACACACAGGCACACACTGAAACAGGTCAGCGGTTTTCTACTGCTGCTTTTGTATTTTTGGCACGCGCGCGTTTTTGTACAAGCACGCCACCCACCCACAAATTTATTTACTTGTAGTTGTGCTGTTCTACTTGTGTGTTCTTATACAGACCGTACAAACACAAAGACGAACAGAAACAGCGACACAAACAGGAACAGGAACACAAAGCGGTACGATTCTGTGCTGGCGTGGGCCGCGAGGGACCCCTCTTATACACAGACCCAGTCCCACTTAGCCTATTGGTTGGTTAGGTGTCCACGTGGCAGGCAAGTGGGAGGCCGCGTGTTCGATGCACGTTGGTCACAAAGCGATTGATTGCTCTTTCGACAAACATAAACTCACAAGAGAGAGAAATTGAAGAGGAGAATGTCTGGCATGGAAGAAGGGAAGGTAAGGTTATGGGAGACAGGCCAGAGAACACAGTCGGGTTACGTAGGTAGATGGACTACCGTCTTCCCCCGAACACAACGCACCCTTATTTTGGCTGCATCTGGCTGAAAATATAGCTCGTATTCATACATTTTTAGGGTGCGTTATGTTCGGGGGAAGACGGTAGAAGGGCATCCGGTATGCAAGATGTGTGAGAGAAAGGTGGGGACTCGTAGGGCATCCAGTTAAGTCAATCGTTCGACAAGTTTCGTTGATCGACGAAGTAGGGCGTTAGCAGGCTCTTTCTTTCATCCTCATCGACTTCCCTCCTTTGCCGCCTCTCTCTTTTCCTTCTATTATTTCTGCGTCTTTCCGTCGTCCATCACTCCCCATCTCTCTCCTCTCTTTCCATTGCTCCCATCATCACCATCAGCATCTCTCCCTCGTTCTCTGGTGTCCACCGTCAGCATCTCTGCCGTCATATCTGCCCGAGTATCGTGTCACCTTCAGGTCTCTTTGTCCTCCACTTGTTGTTCTTTCTCTCGCTTTCACCCTTCTCTCATTGTTGCTTCTACTCTCTCGTTTCCTTCTTTTGTACTTCTCTTTATTTCTCTTTTCTCTTCTCTCCTCTCCTCTCTCTTCTCTCTCTGCTTCTCTTCTTGTCCTGTTCCGTCAGAGCGTCACAAAGACTTCTTCGCCGTAAGCATTCATAGTTCTAGTGCTTTGTACTAGTTCTAGTGCTGTGTACTAGTTCTAATGCTCTGTGTTACCCCTTTGCCGCCTCCGTCTTCTCCTCGCTGCTGGCGTTGGCTTCTCAGCTTTATAGGAATCTTGTGCCATCCTAGTTCTAGTGCTGTGTACTAGTTCTAGTGCTCTGTGTGTACTACTATGTTAAATTTCAGCAAGGCCTAGTTCTAGTGCTCTGTGTGTGTACTACAGTATGTTAAAATCCAGCAAGGCACATAAGTTTCGGTCTCCTGTGCTGTTCGTCTTGACAGAAACGACGTCTGATGATCGCATCTCCAGAAGGAAGTTTTTTCTTAATGGTGAAGCACTGAAGGTGTTAATTGTGAAAAAAAAAAACGTGTAGCTAACGTTTTTTCGAAAAAAGTTTTGGACTCCCCGGATTGGCATTTGTACAAATTGTTCATCTGATAGTGAAGCAGGCGCTGTGTTTCATTTGTACAAATTGTTCATCTGTGAGTGAAGCAGGCGCTGTGTTTCTTGGTCTATTATGGAATATAGGCGAGAGGAACTGACGGGATGTCTTTAGGGAAGGCGGTCGTTGATTACTGGTACTCTGTAATGGGCATTCGGTCTTGTAAAAGCAACGATTCAGTTGAAAGTACCCGGGATGGTAGTAAATTGGTTGAAGGCAAATTAAGGCCCAGTTAATTAATTACTTCAATTTCATTATTATTAAGTAAATGAGCAGACAATAAAGATTTTAAAGGTTACAGTACAATGGATTGAGTCACTGTTAATTAATGACTTCAATGTTAAAGGTCCCGCTGCGATTTTTGAGGTCACAGAAAGTTGGACAAGTGTGGCGGTTGGTCGCGGCGTCATTGGATCCGTCGGTGTGTGTGTGTGTGTGTGTGTGTGTGTGTGTGAGAGAGAGAGAGAGAGAGAGAGAGAGAGAGAGA